TTTTTATGAAAACTTATAAAAATGAAAATAAAATAAAATATAAGTATTAAAACATTGCCTTTGCAACTAACTGAAAAATATTTAAGTCAAAGCACTTCAATCATTAACTGGAAATAAACAAAAAACTAAATGGACCTACAAATAAATCTAAAAAATAAAGTTGAAAATATTAATAAAAAACTATAAACGTATATAAATAATACTAAAATAACACTTATATACATGTACATATAACAATATACAACATCTGTTAAAAAAAAAACATAATTTGAGTACTAATTATAACATTTGAGAATTTCTGCCTAGTAATTAACATGTCAATGCAAATACTTCTTAATGGTCCTAAAATTGAGCTCCATAAAAAAAAAATTTGAAGTAAAAACATAATAATAAATTTGGAGGGGCTTGTGGAATAAAACCAGGACATTTGATTCTCTTAGATGACTCAAAATTACCAGGTAGTAAAAGAAATTAACTAAAGAGAAGCGCATGTACTTGTGTGTGTGTGTGGGGGAGTAACTGATGTACTGATTTCTCAATCCTTTACACACCTATCCAGCTCTTTTACTTGATTTCAAGGTCTTTTTGTATTCAGTCCTGCAGTAACGCTCATTGCTGGACGTTTCTGTGCTGAAATGTGACAGAATCAGAATAAGCCCAGCAGTGGTTCAGAGCTGGCCGGTTTGAGCTGGAAACCTCAGGCCGTTCATGCACACCTCAGTTATATAACACATCCCAGCAGCTGCTGCCACTTCACTCATTTTTTGCATCCTCCAGCAGCTTGAACAGTGTGAAAGAAGTCACAGCTGGGCAGATCAAAGCAGCACTTGAGTGGACAGTCTCACTGGCCTCACGTAACACAGCTCTTCAAAGTGACTCCGAAACAATCCTCACTTTCTGTGTGGAAATCACCAGCGCTTGTGGGAGGGGCCCATGTTACAAACTCACTTGACAAGTCGAGAAATATTCAAGAGATCTCATCTTACTCCCTAAATGACCTCTTATGGCCTCTTAAGAACACAGTCACATTTAAACCACAAACGCAGACAAACTACGTATATTTCCTGAAGATGTGTGAAAATGGCTGCAGATAGTGAGACAGAACTAAATGAAGCTTTGATGACAATCATAATTGTTTTAATGGCAGAAAAGCCTTGATTACCAATGTCATAAATTACATTTACATTCACACATTTGACAGATGCTTTTATCGCTTTTATCAAACATAGAAATAATTTTCTTCTATCATTTTGGTGATGATGATTTTTTGCCTTATATAAAGGAAAAAAATAAAAAATAAAGCCTATTTTTGGGAGAATTACGATTTTTTCCCCCCAATATTTTCATGACAGTGTAACTTGTCATTATTTGTCATTTTAAACGAATCCTCATCACCAAAATGAAAGAAAAAAAAATGTAAATATTTAAATGATCAGTCCTGATGACCTTGATTAGTTTTTTAAAGGCCAATTAGCCATATGATTGCCAATATTATTTCATTTACCTTTACATTTATTAATTTGACATGCAATAAAGAAATATTATCCTACTCCATGAGCTAGAAGAATGCATTATTCAAATATAATTAATAAATATTTTTTTAATTATAGTAATAAAAAATAAATATTTCAGTCACAAAAATAATTTTGCTGAAGTGAAATCAGCTACAGAAATTTAAAGTACAGAAGATAAAGTAATCCCTGTTTAGTACTTCTGAAACTAAACCAAAAAAAAATAAAAATGTTAGTGTGTTGCCAATCAGTTTCTAGGGTCAAAAGAGTCCCGTCAAGTATCTATGGCTCGGGTCCCTCCTTTAAAAGGATAGTTTACCCAGAAATAAATATTCCGTCATCATTTAATCACCCTCCAAACCAGTATGAGTTTGAACACAAAAGAAGATATTTTGAAGAATGTTGGTAACCAAACAGTTGACGGTAGCCATTGACCATTTTTTCCATACTCCGTCAACTATTAATGTTTTATTAATTTATTTTTATTATTCTATTCATTTTTTTCACCTGTGTTATGGTCCAACAGGTAAAAATGGTACATCTGATCACTTAGTAAAGTACCAGTACACCTCAACAAGACACATGATTAACAAGACAAAGAATCATTAATATCTGGAGCAAAACGCTGCAGGACGACGCACACGCTCTACATTAATACTGTTTGATTACATCACTAACACTATTCACAACAGTAATAGTGACGCTCACTGCTGTTAGCAAACATTCTGGAGTGTGCTAAAGACCAGAACAGACAGTTTGGAGACACAAGCTTGTTTAAAGACAGAGGAATTTATTTGTTTTGGTGGTCTGATCTGAAGATTTTTACAAAAAGAAGTCTGCGTGAGATCTTGACATCGTTTTACACTGGAAGTCTTCATCTGTCCACAGGCTTTCAGAGGAATCCATCCGTGTGATGTCAGAGAATGAGGCACAAGCAGGAAGATCATGTTCATTAAAAATGTCCTGCTGCGTTTATGATTAAAAGGCCAGTGCAGGTCGGCATGTAGTCAGACAGGTCAGAGGTCACCGAGTCAGATCGGTGGCCAGCTTTTACTGACCTCTGCATGAAGAGACTCAGGGATCCACTGACAAAACGCTGACAGCAGATCTATAGTGGGAAATAAAGTCATTTTTGTCTCTTTCCACACTTTATATTATGTTATATTTATATTAAATTACATTCAATATATACACTGCCGTTCAAAAGTTTAGGGTCAATATGATTTTGTTTTTGTTTTTGAAAGAAGCTCACAAAGGCTGCATTCATTTGTTGAAAAATACAGCAAAAACAATAATATTGTGAAATATTATTAAAATTTTAGAAAAGGTAATTGCGACATTTTATCTCACAATTTCTACATTTTTTCTTGCAATTATGGGTTTATGTCTCACAATTCAGACTTTGTTTCTCGCAATTCTGAGAACAAAAGTCAGAATTGTGAGATATAGATTCAAATTACCTTTCTGATTTTTTTTATTCCGTGGTGTGAACAAAAATAACAGAATGCTGTGAAGTCAGAAAAAAATTTAGAGAAACAAAATGTCAAAATTCTGAGAAAAAAGTATTTTTATCTTGCACTTGTGAGCTTACATTTCACAATTCTTGCTTTGTTTTTGCAATTCTGAAAAAAGGGCAGAATTGCGAAATATAAACTTTCAATTAGGGCTGTGCGATATTGAAGAAAAATGCGATATGCGATACCTTGTTAAAAAATGCGATATTTGATATGCGATACGATATTGCTTAAAGTGTGTAAAATCAATTTAAATGATATTTTAAAATATTTAAAAATGAAAATTATATAACCAATTTGTTTCACATTCTTTCTTGGAAAAGAAAGAATCACTACAACTTCTGAAAGTGACCAGTAGTGTTTTAGTATTACTTAAAAAGTAATGTCACAAATCAGAAAATGTAATTTAACATCAATGTGAACATACAAACAAAAAAAATTTATGAAACTAATTTTATATCATTGTAACTTTGCTTTCCATACACTTTAAGTACTTCTTCATATACCACAGCAGAAACTATAGTCTGAGAAAGTTCACACATGATTAAAGGCAAGTGAACAGTCAGTAAAAAAAAGAAATACACAATTTACAAGCACAGATAAAATAAACAGTAGTATTCAGATACAGAAATTTAATAATTAAGTGTAAAATAACACTGCATAGTGTTCACTGTATGAATTAAATTTAGATTAATCTTTGTTATAGCCGTTTTGTTGTTTGATTAACATTACAGGTATTTATAAGCTGCTGTCTCTTTAAATCCGACTGCACGGATCCAGTATAATGATACCCATCTGATTTCTTTCTCAGCTGTTTACATTCATTTAAAACATAACTGACAGCGTTTACGAGAATGATCGTCGAGACGGGTACTATTGACATAATTCTGTGTGTATGTGTGTCTGTTCATACATAAGCAGGAGATGCGAAAGACGAATCAACTCGGTGTTCGCGCGCCGTCTGAAACGCGTCT